AGCTAGACTGGGAAGCGACTGGTTCACCCTCTCACCTTCTCCAGGTCCTGGACCCAGGCACCTAGACACACTTATATCAACCCAATTCATTCTCTGGAGTCTGTGAAGGGCTGGGCACACTGGGGATACCAGGTTCGGAGGACACTGAAGTCCCCGGCTGCTCAGATGTATCACATAAGATAGCATAGGGTTGCGTATAACGCAGCACATCTTCCTGCACGCTTTGTCGGCTCTGCATTACTCGGGATGTCTAAAGAAAGCAAATATATGAAAGCATTGCTTAGGGGATAATGGCTTGTGTTCAGTGCACTGCATCTGAAATGTGTTTTGGATTCTTGAGTGGTTGAATTCACGCACTCTGTAGGTGAACCCACAAAGTAAGTCTCTTGGCTGTCCTTGTTGTTACTACATTCATTGCATTTCTACATCTGGTGGCAGGAACATGTACTTATCGTGTAATGTGTAATATCAGAGGCTTGACAGCTTTATGGAGTGGGTTTTTTTTTTTTTTTTGATAGGGTATTGCTATGCAGGCCTGGCTAGCCTGGTACTCAATATGTGACTTAGGCTGGCCTTGAACTCACAGCCCTTTGCTTACCTCTGCCTCCCGAGTGCTGGGATTAAAAATTTACACCACCATACCCAGCATGAAGATATTTTTCGTTGATGTAAGAACTCTTTTACTAATGGTAATGAGCAAACAATACAATTACTTATTGCTTATTACAATCAATTTAAGTTAGCATACAGAGCGATAAGTTCAGTTATGGACCACGTACGCCACTATGCCCTGCTTTTGTTTATCTCTTTCCTACTAGGGCCCTGTTCTTTCTGGCCTTGTCTTTCATACCCTCACTCCCCCCCCCCGCCCCGCATACCAGACTCACCTTCCGCTGTCTGCTCTCCCCACCCTTCCCAGGAATACCGTTCTAGAGACTGTGTATGTGGCCAGATTTTATTTGCTGCTTAGAAAAACTTCATGAAGTATTCTTGAGAGAAAATTGGCTCATGTAATTAGGTACTATTTTACCTGTGGATATGACCAATTTAGGAAATTGTGACTCAAATTATATCTCAAATCGTTTGCCGATCTTTTTTTTTTTTTGAGACAGTTTCACACCATTAGCCTAGGCTGGCCTTGAACTTGAGGCAGTCCTCTTGCCTCAACCTCATGCTGGGAATGCAGAGTGAGCACCCACACTCACTTCCTGTTGATGAATTCTGATTGTTTCTAATTTGTCTTATTAATAAGTGAATATAACATTATTTGTAAACTCATAGCAAAGTTTTTTTGTTTGTTTGTTTGTTTGTTTTTTTAGGTAATTGTAGTGTTGACAGCTTCCTATGGTGGTGAAAAAACAGCCAAAAATGAGCCTACTGGGCGTAAACTAGCACATTGATGATAGGTATTGTGCATTCAGAATCCTGGAGGAAAATTAGAGCATGGCATTGCTTGTCAAAGAGACTTTACAATTAAATTCTGTTATTGAGGAACATAGAGTTCTCACCTCCTTAATCCCTTTTCCTGTTATACAGCAGAGGCATACTGGTCCCTTCTCGTTTCCATGGAGGATCTTTCCCATGGCCTGCTGGGGCGAGCAAGCAGGACTTCTGAAAGCCATCTGTGTACTCTTTCCAACTCCATGCTCAGGGTCTCGAATTTTGGTAGCCTGTTTCCCATGTTGGAGATATTTTTCCCCCAAGGACTTGGCAAATGCTAGCAAACCAAGCATGTTCCAGAGCTGGCTGTTAAACACACTAACTGTTGGCACATCAGTGGTCCCTTCCCCCTCCCTCCGTCATTCTGATACCTTTGTTTGACGGCCTTTGGCAGCCAGGGAATCAAGGAACTGGACACTAGGTATAGTTGCCTCTGTAGCTTGAACAAGTTGTGAAACCTCTCAAATACCCAATTTCTTCCTGAATAAAATGGAATGTATAGAAGACACCCCCATACACATTTAACTAGGCTCCTAAAGGTGAAATTACAAACAGTATAGTATACATAAATCCATGTCTGGGACATAATGAATATTCAATAAGTAATATATATTGGGTCTTTTTTTCAGGGTTTGTTATGTAGCCCAAGCTGTCCTTGACTCATAGCTTGCCTGAACTTCCCAAGTGCTAGGATAACAGGTGTGTGTCCACCAAGTCTTGGCTAGTCTTTTTGGGGGTGGGAATGGGGGTGGGGAGTGAGAGCCATTCATTCAATAAATGTTATTTACAGAGTGCTTTATGTCCTGCCTGTAGGCATTTGTTTGCTTGTTCATCTATTTATTTATTGTCCTAATTTCAATTCACACTAATCCCACTCCACCAATGAGCTACCTCATACCTGTGTGGTTTGAAATAGATAAAGAAGAATACAGTACCATAATGAACTTCTGACCTTTCAGATCACATGCTTGACGCCATACGGACCATTCATCCGTACTTTTGATGTGCGTCTTGGTCTGCCATCAATAGAGGAGGACCCAAGTCTAGTTTTCTCATGACCTTTCAGAATGTTTTTATCCCCTAGCCTCATACTTTCTTGAATTTAATCCCATTAGGTTATTCCCTTCACTTTCCAAACACAGGGACATCTACTCTAGCTCCTGTCCCTAGCATGCCTAAGATGGTCGTGAGTGACAAGCACTGTGAAGCGCCTTACTGGGGATTGATTTTTTACACCCTAAGGTGGAGACAGGAAAGCCTGATGTTCTCATCAGACTTAATCACCTGGCAAATGTGCTGCCTAAGGGCTCAGACCCTCTCTGCCATTATGATCCCTTCCCCCTGGTCCGGTCAGCCCTGGGCTCAAGAGGGCACCCTGCAGGTGGACAGCCTTCTGCAGCTGTAGGAGGTGGGGGCAGTGGGATTCTCTGTCCTAATCAGGCTCCGCCTCCAAGACGGAAACAGCAGGGGTCAAGGTGTTCCTTACCAGCGTCTCTCAACCTCTTCCCATCCCTTTACACATCAGAGGCTCCTGCTCTCTGGGCACACACAGGTAGTTTCCTCGCACGCTTGGTTTGTGCGTTTTCAAGGCGATCAGTTTTCAACAGAGACATTTCGGAGCTGTTTTTAGAAGTGGAAGCGCCCTGAACCCCTGCAGGTCGTTACATGTTGGGAGCACCTTTGACATCATCTTTAAGCTGGAAAGGGTGCTCTGAGCCGCCTGACATTTTTCAACCTGGCACCAATGAAAAGAAAATAGAACATGCCAAACTTCCTCCGAATGGAACTGGGTGCCTGTGTGTGCGCTTTATGTCCTGCCTGTAGGCATTTGCTTGTTCGTCTATTTATTTATTGTCCTATTTTCAATTCACACTAATCCCACTCCGCCAATGAGCCACCTCATACCTGTGTGGTTTGAAATAGATAAAGAAGAATAAAGTACCATTATGAACTTCTGACCTTTCAGATCACACTTTTCAACACGGCTTTGAGTCACCTAACTAACAAATTGCACCTAAGACTTTTTTTTTTTTTTTTTTTTTGAGACAGGGTTTCACTGTGTAGCTTTGGGAGCCTGTCCTGGAACTAGGTCTTGTAGATAAGGCTGGCCTTGAACTTACAAAGATCCGCCTGAGCCGGGCGTTGGTGGGGCACGCCTTTAATCCTAGCACTCGGGAGGCAGAGGCAGGCGGATCTCTGTGAGTTCGAGGCCAGCCTGGTCTACAAACTGAGTTCCAGGACAGCCTCCAAAGCTACAGAGAAACCCTGTCTCGAAAAACCCAAAAAAAAAAAAAAAAAAAAAAACTGCCTGCCTCTGCCTCCCAAGTACTGGCATTAAAGGCTTGTGCCACCACCGCCCAGCTAAGACTTTCCTTTTTTTAACTGGAACCTCTTTTTGCTAAGATAATTGGCACAATGAATGTACCTTCAATATTCTAGCAGGCATGCTCAAACCGTGGCCTTAGGGATGCTACTAGCTGGAGACAGCTATGAATGAGGTCCCTCCTGGGTGACTTCCATATAGGACTCATTAGTGATCAAAAATGTTGCTCAGCTTTTTGTTCTTCTACATAAATCCAGTCCCTATAGAGTGGTGCGCGTACTTAATATCCCAACTATGGAATTTTCAAGCATATTTTTCAGCTACTTTAATTTCAAAATAGTCCTGCTCAATTCTTCATATTGAGCTTATCAGGTGGGGTTGTCTGAGAAACAGTCATGCTATTTATTTTAAACTACTTCTAGCTTTTGTCCATGTGTGTCTCAGTTAGGGTTTCTGTTGCTGTGAAGAGATGCCATGACAACTTTTCTAAAAGAAAACATTTCATTGTAGTGGCTTGCTTACAGATCAGAGGTTTAGTTCATCATGGTGCTGGAGAGGTAGCTGAGTGTCCTTCATCTTGGCTTCTAGTCAGCAGGAAGTGGTCATCTCAATGGGTATGACCTGAGAATATGACACCTCAATGCCCATCTCCACAGTGACACACTTCCTCCAACAAGACCACAGCCACTCCAAGAAGTCACACCTGCCAATAAACTTCCACAGTGTGTGTAGTATCTTTATGTATGTGTGAGTACATGTGTGTGGGCAGGTATGGGTGTGTGTGTGTGTGTGTGTGTGTGTGTGTGTGTGCATGCTTGTGGAGGAGGACAAACTCAATTACTTTCCATCTGTTTCTCAACACAAGATCTCTCACTGATTCATCTAAGCTGGCTGGCTAGTCAGTGAGTCCCTCGGGATTACACGTGTGTGATACCACACCTAGATTTTCCCCGTGGGTGCTGGGAGTTGAGCTCAAGTCCTCACAAATGTGCAACAAGCACTTTACTGATAGATATATCTCCCTAGTCCTAAATGTCATCTTTTTTTGGTTGTAAAACAAATTTTAGGTTTCTTTAGAGCCCAAGCAAAAATACTTTAGAACAACTTCAGGTGATACTGTTGAAATTCAGTGTATGAATACCTAGGAAGAGCAATATGAAATGGACCAGTTATCTGTCTAGGGGTTGGAATAGAAATTCCTTTTGAAATAATTCAGAAATTTTATTTTGTTCCTTAGTGACACAGGAACCACACCTCCAGAGAGTGGTATTTTTGGATTCATGATAAACTTCTCTGCATTTCTTGGTAAGTACACAATTATTATAGATGGGAAATTTACAGTCTTATGTGAAATAAAATGTTATAGTTTGCGTACTTTTTGAAAAAAGCACAACTTTTGTAACTAGCATTTTGCACTACTTTGAGAGACTAAAGGTACGTTAAAAAATTCAAAATTATGTATAGCCTCATTATAGAACTATACTTTATCTGGTAATCTGATACTGGGTTTGCAGGAGGTGGTTTTAAATCCCAAACTTCTGACATGGAGTTAAGATTTTTATTTTATTTAAGATTTATTTTTATTATTTGTGTGTGTGCGTGCGTGTGCATGCACAAACATGCACATGTTGGTGATTCATTGTAACTATTTGTGTGTGTACATGCATGTGTCAGTGCCCTTGGAGGCTAGAAAGAGGAAGTCAGATCCCTTAGAGTTAAAAGCATGTTTTTTTTTTTTGACAAGACCTTCTATGGTAAGTTACAAGCATTAGTGAGCTACTCAGTGTAGGTGCTGATCTGAACTCCAGTCCTCATGACAGAACAATAAGATTTCTTAACCGGTGAGACATCTCTAGCTTTGAAATGGATTTTCATGTAATTTAGTTAAAAAACAAACAACTTATTTGTATCACAATAGTTGGGAGGCAGAGGCAGGAAGATTTCTATGTTCGAGGCCAGCCTGGTCTACAGAGTGAGTTCCAGGACAGCCAGGGCTACACAGAGAAACCCTGTCTCCACCCCATCACCCCCCAAAACCAACCAACAACAAAAAACCACCACCACCAACAAAAAAAAAACCCTTTATTTGTAGCCAAGGCTCTTGGGTAGTGCATTACGGAAGAAGATGCCTTAAATGTGTTCTGAGCGCAGCTCACCCAGAACCATCAGGGGTTAGAAGCATGTTCTGGAGCTACCTACAGATCTACTCAGTCAAGAACTGTAAACGGGGCTCAGGGACTACTTGGAGCCAGGGTGTAGATCTGTGACAGAACACTTGCTTGGCATGTATGTGGTCAGCAGTGGGCTTGTTCCACAAATCCAAAACTGAACAGTTTAGGGGACTTGGATGCTTTTTCCAGATGGGAACTGCTGACCTCTGAGGAGAAACAGAAAAAGATAAAACCAGAGTAGTTTGTATCAGGTATGACTTTGTTTTCTGTTTCCATTCCTCAGAAGCCAGGCAGGAATAAATGACAGCATGCAATCTTGTCATGAGCCAATTAATGTCATGTACACTGATTCCAATTGCTTCGCCGTTGATATAAGTCTACCGCCAGAGGGCTGGAGGATATAGGTGTCAGATACAGGGTTCTCAACCCTCCTTTTATCCTCTGCCCCGTGGAACCACCAGGGCCGTTGTGTAACCAACACTCCTTCCTTTTCTCCTCAGTAGAGTAGACCAGGACTTCCCGGAACCCTACTGAGGGAGTGGGCAGCTTTAGAATTTGTGCAACTTGGTAGAAAGCCTCACTTGTTCACCCGTTTGTAGGCTTTTCTAGCTGGGTTTGGAGGTGAGAACGGGGAAGGAGAAAGGGCCAGTCCGTTCCAGAGCCTTTTTCTGCATCTTTGCCTCGCCCAACTTAGAATGAGTAATTATTTGACCACAATCAGTGATAGGTTCAGGCTTTAGACACAGTGCATGGCATGAATATATCCAAATTTTGAAATTGGGATAAGTGTTCAGTTTTAGCTGTTCCCTTCCAGATGAAGTCTTGCTGTGTAGCCTGGCCCACTTACACTTGTGTAGACCAGATGTTGCACAGAGCCTGCAGTTCTACAGCAGCTGTCTGAAGGCTGGGAGTATAGCCATGTGCCATCGCCCCTTGCTAGCCTGCTTTTTATTTACTTAGGTTTTACTTTTAAAATTCTTCAGATAAGGTCTCTTCTAGGTTGCCCAGTGTGGCCTTAACTGTGTCAATACACACAAAGTCCACCTTATCATAATGAGGGCCACACGTTTTACACACTTTAAAAATGGACCAGAAGAAAAAATTTAATATTAGCAGTCGACAGAAGACTGGTGTGCAAAATGTGTCCAAGCCCCTACAACTTGAACCCAAGGGGAAAATATGAACGACACTTGGTCACGCAATTCTCAGAAGGCATACAAAAGCCAAAAGAATTTTCAGAAGGCGGAAACTGTTACCACTCACCAATTAAAGTTTCCCATTTTTCATTCCTTATTTAGCTGCTTATTGTAAAAGGTGATGCATACAGTTGCTCTCCCTCAGCGGACTGGGAGCAAAGGAGACCTACTTCTCAGCATTCTAATCACGCACATATGTATGTGTGCATATACATATGTATATATATATATGCATATATGCATGTATGTAGAACACTGCTCTGAAAATGTGCCCCAAACTTGCAAGTCAGAAATGTTAATGGACTATTGCTTGTAATTGGAAACCCCAAGGGGCAAAGTAGAAATCCATCTATAAGAGAAGGGCGATATAAAGACAGGCTCTCACACACGGAAAAGGACAGTGTAGATTTATTTTACAGTGACTTGGAAGACTTCATGGTACATTATCAAGCCAGAAAAACATGTTGTAGAATAATGTGTGGAGCACAATGCCCTTTACATGAAAATAGCCAAGGTGTGTGTGTGTGTGTGTGTGTGTGTGTGTGTGTGTGTGTGTGTGTGTGTGTATGTGTGTGTATGTACTGCATGGGCTAAGAATGGGAACAGCAAAATGTCAGGACTTTTTCCTTCCTTTTCTGTGCTGGGAATCAAACCCGAGGCCTCCTGCTACACTCCCAGCCATAATTAAGACTATATATATATATATATATATATATATATATATATATATATATAAGAAAAACAAAGACTCACATGTACTCTTGTTTTTCATTAAAAGAATCAGGATTAACATTCACCAGACTATACTTTTTTTTTCAGGTGCAGCTACAATGTACACGAGATATAAGATAGTGGAGAAGCAAAATGAGACCTGCTATTTCGGCACTCCTGTCTTTAACTTGGTGTCATTAGTTCTTGGATTGGTGGGATGTATTGGAATGGGCATTGTAGCCAATTTTCAGGTATGGCTTGAGCGTTTTGGGGTGGTTGACAATGAAAGAGTCCAGGTGTGAGTAGAGAAGCAGGAATTCAAGAAACCAGCTTGCGTTGGGAGAGCTATGAGATGGTTAATGACCTAGGATTGGGTTGATTGAGTTCTAGCATGCTCGTCAGTCTTGCCTGGGTATTGGGTGCTAAGGGTTTCTATGTGGAAGATACTGAGAGTGGATACCTCAGACGGCTCTGCAGGCTCAGCACTGCTCCCTGTTTGCTCATGGTTTGTTTGTTTTGAAGACAATTCTTTACCATTTATATGACTTAGCTTGGTCTGGAACTTGAGGCATTTCTTTTAATCACACACACACACACACACACACACACACACACCCTTGAAACTGTTAATGCTGCCCCGGCCTTCTGAGCGCAGGGATTGCAAACATGGAGTACCACGCCTGGCTTCCCAGTTCATCTCGATGTAGTCTGAAGCAAGAGCTACTTAGCGCTGTAAGCGATTTTCCTCAGAGTGTTTGATTCTGTCCTTGGATACGATCCATCTGGTATTCAAAGACAATCACCTGACCTCTCCCTTTTGTAGATGAAGATTTGGTTTGTGAAGGTGAAATCACTTACTCAGATTTATTCAGTGGATTAGTTTGCAGAATCAAAATATGGCCCTGTTCCAGGAGCCATACTTTCCTCTAATTTGAAGATTCCGGCTCATCCCACAGTCTTTTCCAAGGAAACATTTGGCTTGTCTATGGAGAAGCTATTTAATATCCTAGAGAAATCTGTGAACTTCATGTTCGCACAGTTGACAGTACCCACCTCTTGAGACTGTTGCAGGGACTGGATCAGAGAATCAGTGTACAGTAGCCAACGGTTTGCATTTTGTGGCTGCACTCACTGTCGTCTCCTTGTGAGAGCAGGATGGGTTACTACAGGATGGGGGAGGCCTCGGGTTCTGCCCAGGGGAATCTCTAACCTTCTCCCCTCAGCAATGTCCTTGTATGATGCTTGTTTTTACGAAAAGATGGCAGGCTTCGCTCTAGTGAGCTCATGCCATACGCAGGAATCAGCACATACCTCCTAAGTCACCTGCTATCCACCCACTCTCCAATGTCTATGTCTGTATGGGACGGGACCATGGTCAGAGTGGCCTCAGCCTGACCTGAGCTCCACAGGCTCACTGACTCCACACTCACCAAGAGAGATGCCCTCTGTTAGCACTGGTGGGAATGGGGGTAGGGGTGGAGGGAGGATCTTAGAGTGATAACCATTATCAGTGTGTGACTATGAGGGGGGTGGTAATAATTTTATCATATCACTTTCTCCTCTGAATAACACCATAAGTCATAAGTGCCTCTTTTAAAGTCATAAAGGACAGGCTTTACGAGGAAAATGTAGGTGTTTAGAAAATGGATTTTTAAAAAACTCCTTTTCTGGGTGGTGGTGGTGCACACCTTTAATCCCAGCACTAGGGAGGCAGAGGCAGGTGGATCTCTGAGTTCCAGACCAGCCTGGGCTACAAGAGCTAGTCCCAGGACAGCCTCCAGAGCCACAGAGAAACGCAGTCTTCAAAAACATAAAGCTCTCCCTTAAGGCTTCCTTGAACTAAGCCTTTATGATACTCCAGACACAGGATCTTTAGGACTGTGGGAGTCGACTGTTTGCCTTGCCGGTGCTCTCACGAAGTTTCCACCCAGCTTCCTTGTGTGAGGTCCCGTGGCTCATTTTTAGCGTGCAGTAAGTCATGGACCGGGAGAAGAATCTGAGGTCTGAGGCCAGGAGACAGGGAGACCCTGCTAGTTTGATCGTTTAAATCATCTGACGAGGTGTTAGCAGCTGGCTTCCCCAACTGGGTGGGCAGGCTGCCTGCCTTGTGTTGGATTCATTTATTTCTGCCAGTGTTTCATTTTCTTTTGGAATTCTCTCCTTTGAGAGGATAACCTGAGACATCACGTTAAGTAAAATGAGCCAGGGGCAGCGGAGATTGCTCTGTCTACTGATCAAGTGCCTTCTGTGTAAGCTGGAGAACCTGAGTTAATCCCTAGAGTGCTTGTAACTCAGGTCTGCTTGCACCAGCACTGGCACCAGAGACCTGCAGATCCCTTGGGCTCCCTGGCCCCCAGTCAGCTTAACTGAGATACAGGTCAGTGAGAGACCCTGTCCAAACAAGGAGATGGCTCTTGGGGAATGACCTCTGCTTTCCGTGTAGACACATGAACATACACATATTTGCACCCATATGAACAGATGCAAACAGATGTTTTAGGTAGAACCTAAAACCTGAAGCAAGAGAACACTAACCTTTTATTTTTATAAATACACTTTATTTCAGTGTTTATTTTATGGAATGAAAAGGTGACTGAAGTCTGGGCAGTGGTGGCGCACACCTATAATCCCAGCACTTAGGAGGCAGAGAGGCAGGCAGATCTCAGTGAGTTCAAGACCAGTGTAGTCTACAGAGTGAGTTCCAGGACAGCTAGGGCTACCACAGAGAAACCCTGTCTCAGAAAATAAAAAATTGAAATAAAACAAAAGGTGGCTGTTTCTAGAACAGGAAAAAGAAAAAAGCCATGCTTGTGTAATCACAACCAAGTGATTGAGGTGACGAGCGGGGGGAAAAAGCCAACTGAGAGCTGTAAATTGGGGCATTGAGATGGTTCATCAGATAGACGGCAGCCCTTGCTGTGAGGCCTGAGGCCTGAACGCTCCCCAAATCCACCACAGAGGAGAAGATGGACTTCCAAAGTCCTCTGATCATGTACAGCTTGCACGTACACACTCTCTCTCTTACAAAAAGAACCATAAGCCTAGTGTGGCAGCACACATACTTGTTAACTCTAGCACTCTTGAGGCTGAGGGAAGAGGATTATGAGTTGGGAGCCAGCCTTGCTACATAGCAAGAGCCTGACTCAATAAACAAACAAATAAAATAATCCAGGCACAATAGTTCACTTTCACCACAGAGACAGAAATTGTCTTGACTTAATCATTTCACATTATAAACATATACAAAAACTTCCATAAATATCATGGATATGTATAATTATTATAAGTGAAAACTAATTTTTTTTAAAACTGAGATGTTCATTATGGTCTAAGAACCACTCCCCCTCCTAAAAGACAGGGGGCTGGGGCCTGGGTTTAATCCCTACCACCTTATAATTCTGGGTATGGTGCAAGTCTACCTATTGCATTTAGTGAGTGGAGGCAGGGGCACACAGAGGGAGTTAGAGGCCAGCCTGGGCTACATGACTCTGTTAGAGAGAAAGAGAGAAAGGAGGGGGGGAGGAGAGAGAGGAGAGGAGAGAGAGACTGATTTTTGAGACGAGATCTCACTATGTAGCTCAGACTGGCCATGGACACTTGGCCCTCCGTCCTTGGCTTCCTGAATGCAGTGGTCATGGGTGTGTACCACCACACCTAGTTTCAAGACCTCTTTAGTGACAGAGTACATATTCCATTGTGACGAAGACACAAAATCTGACCATGGCAGGGTAGATGTTCCCAGCAAGCCCACGAAGCTTGCTCCAAAGGATGTGTCACATGGCCAGGACAGAGGAAGGAAATGTCCTCATAGTGGGAGGAGAAGAGGTATTCAAATTGAGGATGTGCATTAGTGTGGAAAGCACCAGAATTCTGATTATTCCTGAAAGTGACTCGTTAGCAGACGATGCTTTGCTTTCTATTTTGCCCTCACCCAGATAGGCCTCGTATTCAAACAATAAAAGGAATTTGCTTCTCTTAGTTCTTTTAAGATATGTTTAGAACTATGGTAAGATATACATAATATGGAATTTTCACCTTAAACACTTTTCTCAATATCGTTCAGTCATTCAGTGACTATTTTCCTAAATTCTGCACACCCATGCCTTTAAAGGCGCACACATATTTTAAAACACAGGATGTCCTTTAATTTCCACATGTAACTGTCTCTGTGCCCATGTTAGATAACCTAGTTATAGAATGTGGGTGCAATTGTTCTTCAGGTACTCACAGTGACTCACCTGCCTCAGTGATTACAGGCTTTTGCTGCCTCACCTGGTTTCTAAATGCATTGCATTTTTTTTTTCTAGACAAGGTTTCTCTCTATAGCCATGGCTGTCCTGGAACTCACTCTGTAAACCAAGCTGGCCGTGAACTCAGAGATCTGCCTGTTTCCTGAGTGCTGGGATTAAAGGGTGCCCCACCATGCCCTGCTGCAAGTGTACTTTTTGTAGGAGATGCTATCCTGTAGTCCTCACTGAGAGCATATATGGTAGAACTGATGGCAGACGAAGAGGGAGACTCTAATTTCCTTAAAGTCACAGTCTCATGGTGGAGTTAGAACTTTCGATTTAGAGGATCCAGGCTCTGAAGCTCATCCCCACAGAGCTCCTCCAGGGTGATGATGTCCTTTTCCTGTCTCAAGTATGAAATGATTGTGGACCAGGCAGCTTCAACGGAGCTTTGCTCCATACTGATACTCAGATAAACACCTCCCTCCCTGATTGCTGATGCTTGCAATGGTTCTCAACCTGTGGGCCACAACCCCATTGTGGGGGTCAAATGACCCATTCACAGGGGTCACATATCAGATATCTTACATGTCAGACATTTACATTACAATTCATAGCAGCAGCAAAACTACAGTTATGAAGTAGCAACAAAAATATTTTCATTTTTTTGAGATAGGGTTCCTCTGTATGGCTTTGGAGGCTGTCCTAGAACTTGCTCTGTAGACAACCAGGCTGTCCTTGAACTCACAGAGATCCACCTGCCTCTGCCTCCTGAGTGCCGGGATTAAAGGTGTGCACCGCCACTGCAGCAATGAAGATAATTTTCTGATTAAGGTTACCACCATATGTGGGACGCAGCACTAGGGAGGTTGAGGGCTGCTGGCTGGGCGACTCAGGGTGAGTGAGTGAGCGCCAGTGACTTGAGGCCGACGCTTTCCCACGGGGTAAGATGCATCTGTGATCTCCACAGGAGTTAGCCGTGCCTGTCGTCCATGATGGAGGGGCTCTTCTGGCTTTCGTCTGTGGTGTGGTTTACACGCTCCTGCAATCCATCATCTCCTACAAATCCTGTCCCCAGTGGAACAGTCTCACCACATGCCATGTCCGGATGGCCATCTCCGCTGTTTCCTGCGCAGCCGTGGTCCCCAGTATCCTTTCCACATGTCAGTTGGAAAAATATGGCGGGGGAAGAAGACTGTCCTACCTCAGGCCATAGCAGTAGCCAGAGGGACTGCCGAAGGTGAGGTCTTGCGGTAGCGAGAGACTCACTTGTGGGGTAGTGGAAGTCTATAGCAGGGAGCAGCCTGGGGTCGCTGGGTAGAAGAGTGTAGAGAGAAGCCTTTTTCTTGTCTGCTGCTTTGGGTTTTCCCCACCAGTCGTCTGGGCTCTGCCACGTTGTAGTACCCAAATAACACACAAGGTGCTGTATTAATTATGAAGCTGTTGGCCGTTTGCTTGATTTCTTACTGGCTATCTCTGACTTAAGTATTAACCCATAATTATTAATGTAAGTATTTCTCTTACCAGAGAAAAGGTCTGGACTTCTTACCCCTATGCGGCTACATGGTGACTCCCTGTGTTTCTCCTACCCAGAGTCCTCCTCAATTCCTAGTCCCACCTATCTTGCTTCCCTATTGGCCAACAGTGCTTTATTGACATATACACAGGACTTCCCCATTATAAGAGGACTAAGGAAATGTGCTAAACTTCTCTGCCAGGATTCTTGTACGTGACACTTCAGGGCAAACAGACAGCTGCGGGATAGAGGACGGCTGTTCACCAGAGGGATCACACCAACTATGAGGAGATGGGTTATTAGACTCAGTGTCGCTGCAGTACCTGATGTAAACAACTTACGGGGGAGGGCTTACTTTGGGTTCACTGTTTTTGAGACTTCAGTCCATGGTTTCTTGGACTGGTGTGCTCAGGCAGAGCATTATGGCAATTGGAGCATGTGCGGGCAGATTTCTTCTTTATGAACAGGAAAGAGAAAGCAAGGGATGGAGGGAGGAAGAGAGGCAGGAACAGGAGGAGGGGGTGGGGGAAGGGGTCAGGGACATGACTCCCTCAGCCCTGGCCAAGGACCAACTCCAGTGATCTGCTTCAGATAGGTCCTACCTCTTAAACTTTCCATAGTCATCCCCAATAGTGCCACCATCTGGGACCCAGTCCCCAGCAGACACAAGAACCTTTTGGGGTGGGAATGGAGACACTTTATATCTAACTGTCTTAGTTACTTTTTGCTGTGTAAAGACACCTTGACCAAGGCAGCTTATAGGGGGGAGAGTTTATTTGGGGCTTATGGTTTCAGAGGGTTAGAGTCCGTGACTATCATGGTGTGGGGAACCATGGGGGCAGACAGACATACTTGGCACTGGAGCAGTAGTTAAGAACTTACATTTTGGTCCACAGTCACAAGGCAGAAGAAGGTAACTGGGAATTGGCAAGGGCTTTTGGTGACTCACCTCCAAGACCACATCACTGAATTCTTCCCAGACAGTTCCACCAACTGAGAGTCAAACATTAAAATATGTGAGCCTGTGGAGGCCATCCTTATTTAAACCACCACACTAACTTCAACCAGGACCTCGTTAAACTGGTTTTAGATTCTAAATTTATATTCCAGTTAGATTGTTCTTTATACTGAAGTGCACAGGAGAAAGGGTTGTTAGGATCCAGACTACAGTTCAGCTAAGCAAAGAATCTTTATTCCAGCAAGTCTGATGTTCCCCCTACACCCATGCCTAAAGCACTAAAAAGGCAAGGAAAAATTGCCAAGTGTCCGTACTCTTCAGAGGACCAAATAGGAGAACAGTGTACACACTACAGAAGTATCGGATCAAACAGACTTTGGGGGAAGGAGTGAATGTGAACAGAAAAAAGCAAGGACACTCCAGCCTGTTGACCGTTCCTTCCCACCGGTCATTTACACAAGCCGTATGAAAATATTTAATTTTTTGAAGTGCTTGTTTAAAGACATCAAATATTGGCATTGTATTTATAGAAATGGCTTTTGCAACATCCCAAGAGTCTGGACTCCGTGCCTGCTGGAGGCATGACGGTTTGACTAACTCAACTGGACTTGGGATTTCCTTTTAAACTCCTGTCACTCACGACTAAGTCAACCAAACACACCGAGTCTTTTTTTATGTTTGGATCTTGTTTTCAATATGGAGTTCACTCCGTTTTCTAATGTAGCCATGAAATAAAGGAAATGAGTCATGCTTATCTATTCCGATCTAAAGGAAATGAGAACTGGGCATGGTGGCACATGCCTTTAAGTCTAGCGCACTGGGTAGGCAGGCAAAGGCTTGAGGATGGGCCTGGGCTATGGGACTGGCTGGCGTCCTAAGAAAGATTCGTTTCCTCCTTGGCCAGCCTCGATGTGACGGCTTTGACATTGTCTTACTGTCTCCTGTTTTGTCCGGTTTGGTTGTTGTCTCCTGGAGGCCTGCTCTTTTCTGAAGGGGAGTGGAGTGGATCTGGGGGAGAGAGAGAAGGCTGGGATTACAGGTGTCTGTGATCACACTCAGCCCCCTTCCTTCCTTCCTTCTTTCCTTTCTTCCTTCCTTCCTCTCTCCCTCTCTCCCTCTTTCTTTCTTTCATGAAGCATTTAAACCAAGAAAATAAAGTGATATGTTATTTCAAGGTTGGAAACTTCTCCACCATTTGGTCTTGTGTCAGATTGTAGAAAAACAAAAGATGCCGTTTTGTAGACAATACAGGCCAGTTCATGGTCTATAGTGGTCAAGCTTCATGACACATCATGTCCTTTAAACTCTGAGCTCTGTGTTTCTCTCCTAAAATAGAGATTACATCAGATAACCTAAATATGCAATTTTGCGGGGTTTTTTTTGTTTTGTTTTGTTTTGTTTTCTCTGAGACAGGGTTTCTCTGTGGCTTTGGAGGCTGTCCTGAAACTCGCTCTTGTAGACCAGGCTGTTCTCGAACTCACAGAGATCTACCCGCCTCTGCCTCCTGAGTGCTGGGATTAAAGGTGTGCACCACCACCTACCCAATTGCTTCTGTTTTTATTTATTATGGCTTGAGATACAGTCTTATTCTGTAGCCCAGACTGGCCTTGAATCCCCACCCCCCTTTGTATCTCAGCCTCCTGAGTGTGGAGATTACACTGGGAGAAAATTTTAATTACAGAATTTTCAATCAAGGAGGAACTGAGCCCCAACGCTGAGAAATAAGAACTGCCATAAACAGTTTCGTGTGCAGGAAACCCTTCTTTGCTTCCAACTCCTAAAGGCTAATCTTACAATACTCAAACCAGTGAATCCCAGCACAACAGACATTTCGGCCTCCATTTCCCATCATTTCCATTTCCTGTTCTCACATCCAGGAGGTTCAAATTCCCAGCCAAGCCAAAGGTCAGAGACCCACACAGAAGCAGGCTAAGTCCCTGCAACAAACTTCTCTGAGTGGATTTCAACAAACTTCCTCCTGAAAAAGTCTGTGGCCTCCAGCTTTTCGTTGTTGGCCATGCTTCTCGGGAAGATGGTAAAGGCTCCTTAGAATGTCTGTCGGCGTTTCTCCATAGCATTTCTTTCGCACAAAGCAGCCTCACAGAGACTGTTGTGGTGGTGGCACACGCCTTCAATTCCAGAACTGGGACGCAGATGCAGTCGGATCTCTGAGTTCGAAGCCAGTTTGGCCTACAAAGTGAGTTCCAGGACCGGCTCCAAAGCTAAGGAGAGAAACATTGTCTCAAACAACAACAACAAACAAAACAAAACAAAAACCCCAGCTCCATTAACTCCTGAAGAAACTGAGCCACTGAGTGAGGCCTGCACTCAGTGGCTACTTTAGTTTTTCTTTTCTTTCTAGCCCTGGCTGTCTGGGAACTAACTCTGTAGACCAGGCTGGCCTGCAACTCAGAGATCCACTCCACACCCCCATCCCTACCCCCGCCTCTGCCTCCCCAGTGCTGGAACTAAAATCCTGTGCCACCATGCCGGGCCGTGAGGCCTGTCATTTCATATCAGGTTTCTTAATTTCTCCTGTTTATTGGCTCATCTTGCCTCAGCTTCTAAAACGTCCAAACACTTCACAGAAGCCAGGCGTGGTGGTAATATTTCAAACCTGACTCAGAGAGAGACAGAGACAGACAGAGAGAGAGAGAGAGAGAGAGAGAGAGAGAGAGAGAGAGAGAGAGAGAGAGAGAGAGAGAGAGAGAGAGAGAGAGAGAGAGAGAGAGAGAGAGAGAGAGAGAGAGAGAGAGAGAGAGAGAGAGAGAGAGAGAGAGAGAGAGAGAGAGAGAGAGAGAGAGAGAGAGAGAGAGAGAGAGAGGAGAGGAGAGGAGAGAGGAAGGAAGAAAGAGAAAGAAGAGAGGGGGTAAGGGAGGGAAAGGAGGAAACAAGGGCCGTGGTAGCACATGCCTGTATTTCCAGAACTCAGGAGGCAGAGACAGTTCAAGGCCAGCCTGGTCTAAGGAGTGAGTTCCAGGTCAGCTAGAGCTACATAGTGAGACTGTCTCACAAACAAACAAACAAACAAACAAACAAACAATAAGAAAGGGAGAGAAAGGAAGAGAGAAGAAAGAAGAGAGAAGGAAACGTCAAGAGGCTTTTGAGACGTGTGACCTCTGAGACATCTGGTCTCTTCAGCCTGTTAGTGACACTTTGCCCTCCAGGCATGGTGGTTTCCTGTTCTCTGCTTCTCCTGTGTTCATTTCCTGGGGCTGTTTTAGAGCTGGGCTACTTACTGGTCCATCACGTAACTGACTTTCTGCATGCTTGACATGTGGCTAGATCTTTTTTTTTTTTAATGTTTTTTTATTTAGGTTAGAAACAATCTTGTTTCACATGTCAATCCTAGCTCCCTCTCCCTCCCCTCCTCCCCCGCCCTCCCACCAGGTCCCCCACACCCCCCCAATCTCCACTCCAATCCCCAGGGAGGATGAGGCTCTCCATGGTGGATCTCCAGAGTCTGTCATTTCATCCAGGGCAGGACCTAGGCGCTCCCCCAAGAGTTCCGTCCCCATAGATTACCCAAGCCTCATCACTGACACCCACATTCAGGGGGTCTGGGTCAGTCCCATGCTTTCCACACAGCCATCAATCTGAGCTCCCCCTTGTTCAGGTCAACTGTTTCTGTGGGTTAAACCAGCCCAGTCTTAACTCCTTTGCCCATCAGTTCT